TGGGGTAAGGTAAGATGAGTACTGTGGAAGAGGTTGAATATGACATACAGTGGGGTCATTATAGTTCGAAGTCAGAAGTCAACTACCGGTTGATGGACTTTTTTGCTGTATGAGTATACGTTGCCCAGTGTGCACTACGTGGAGGTAAGTCTATCGCACTCCCCTTTGGAACTCACTCAAGAATAACAGAAAAATGCAACGCTATTTGCGCTTCTTTTTTCTACTTTTTAGTCGGCCTTCAAACGGCAAGCCGGCATGCGAACTCGTTTAATCTTTTTCAATAACGCCGTACAACGGGAAAGTTTACGCTCTCACAACGACCGAGTCACAACCACCGCGGGTCAGATGTTCAAAGTCACCAATGCAACCCGGTGCCAGCAGTGTCGACGACGAATTGGCACTTCGGCATTCTTTCGATATCCCGATTCAGGTGATTTGGTTCACTATGGGTGCTGCCCTGACCTTTCAGCCGTGATTTCTAATTCATCTATTAGCTCCCAACCTCGATTATAAACGTCTTTCAGAAAAATTAGTCAAACAATCATTTTTTGTTTTCACAAGTGTATTAATTTATTCTTTTTTTGTACTATGGCACTTTTTTCTCTCCTTTCTCCTCTCACCTTAAATAGAAACCGGAAATCGGAAGCCTGGAATAGTGGAGGTTTTTTGTCGGTAGTCAGGTAGAGATAAAGATTAGACAAACTCGAACGGAAACAACAGCATCCTGCGCGCATACCCTGGAGCAGATAATGGTGGAAAGGTGCTTAAAGTGGCGCTTCTTTTTTTAGTTTGCGACGCTCTATCGACTGGAAATTATTTCTCATTGTATATTGGACCCGGTCTTTTTTCTCTTCTATTTTGTGAATACCGACACACTCTGCGAAACAAATCTCTTGAAACCACAATCCTGGTATTTTGTGTGTATCCAATAGACGTATTCAATTGGAGTAACATAATTGTAGTGTCGCTACACTGGTTCTTATATTTAAGCGGCTCGTGGAAATGGGCTTAGCCCTCACAATTTTTATTATTAGAGTAGACGCAGGATATCTCGGTTCAAAGTAGAAAGAGCTAATCGTATCTCACAACATACTATTGTTTCCTTTTGATATAGTGGTGCTGTATTACTATGATAACTAGATCTATATTGTGAGCGAATCTAAAAGTAGGTCTGCCATAGGTAACTTGCTAGAGCTGTGTCTAAAGTAGAGCTAGTGAATTGGTGACTCACTAAGACTGATATATAGAAGATAGGTCAGATGAGTATGGGTTTCTATTGCTAAACTATAGAAGATTAGTTACTATATCGAATAACGGTGGGAGAAAATGATTCGCCACTCCTGTTATTGACCTCTTGTGGGTATCCGAAATGTGACTTTTAGATCAAGTGGCTCAAATCCTCTTGTTGTGAAACTTCAATTTTGGTGGTCGCGGGTAGTGTGATAGACTTACCTCCATGTGGTGCACCCTGGGCAACGTATACTCATACGGCAAAAAGTCTACTAACCGGGAGTTGACTTTTGACTTCAAACTACCATTACCCCCACTGTATGTCATATTCGACTACTTCCACATTCTCACCTCACCTTTTCAACCTTTGTGTCTGTCTGCCTCTTTTACATCTGTGAATCGCTCTTCTGCTCCTCACCCCTCGACTTTCTGCTACTGTGATGAACCTTCCCTCTGTGAAGCCCGAAGTCAGTTAAATGGCTAATGATAACTATCAAAATATCTGCCATTTGATAAAAATAAATTTTGGTGGTCGCATCCAGAAGGGACTTTTACAGTTAGTAAGATTTCTTAGCAATGAGAACGTCCCATTTTTAAATTATTTCAGATCTTTATTAAAACAACTAGACTGAACTACGACTTAAAGAAGATGGGTATACTATTAGTGGATAGCTTAAGTAGTAATTTTTTATTGGCTGAATTTGGAAAACTAAGTTACTTAAAGTTGCTATCTCCGTTTTTTTACAATTTTTTTGAATTTTTAGCCCGAAATATGTTAGATAGCAGGCTTTCCAAGAATCAAGCGAAAAGGCAGTCTTTTATGAGTTGTTAAAGTCAAGATATTCACCAATGAACACATTTAAAAAAGCTTTTTTTCTTCAGCTCCATGCAGTTGATCTTCCCCTATTCAGATATCGGTGTTCGAAAGAGAATATATATATGATTGTCCTTTCTCAAGTACACAAATGTATTCACCTCATGTTCCACGTTGCATCCAAGGTTCGTGTACGCCACAATGGCCTGCCAATGTCTGCCATGCTTCTCTTCCACTCCATCCTTCAACAATTTTGCCATCTCTCTTTCCTCTTGGACTTTTCTTTCATTATTTTTCACAATCCTCATTATATCACTAAGGAGTTCCTCATTCACTTTTTCTTCATGCAGTATCTCAAAGCTCTTCCGGAGGTTTTCAAGGCTCTCATTTCTTTTTAAAACATCTTTCTCATCGTGCTGAGTAACGGGGGCGGATTCTTCCAAATGAGTTGGCATTTCTTCAATGGTGATATCTGCCGAAATAGTTCTATCCAATCCAGATTTACTAGCCGAATAAGTTGGAACTTCGTCGTCACTTGTTATATCAATAGTTGATGAGAGTGAAGAGTTCATCCTGTTTGACATCATATCCACTCCATCGCCATCCAGACTTCTTGTACTTGTGCTTCGACTATCATTTTGGCTTTTTGTAACTTGAGCATCTGAGGACTTCTCGTGTCCTGCCTGGGAGACGGCTACACTCTCTCCTGCGGCCGCTTTTTCTCGATTAGCTTTCACACGCTCACTTTAATGAAACAGAAAGTACATTCTGAGTGATACTCGAGATGCATGTGACTCACTTAAAGTATCGACTCATTTGAATCGCACTTCTGTTATCGATCGTACTAATAGGGGTGTGTGCGTGTGTGTGATGTACTATACTAATGAATTTATTTAACTTTGCTTGGGAGTGAAAAAGAGACTTACGCGTAGGGTTTTCGCATAGTCATTCCAAGGGTGGTGCAGACTTCTTCCGCTTCTATTACGCCTTTGTTGTCTAGATCGAACCATTTGAACCATTCCTAAAAGCGAACAAAATATTAACAATCGAAGTACAGATGTTATGCTTCATTGCACTAATAAGAATAATTTTATTTATATTTAGTAAAATTGTCTCACAGGCATGTTTGTTTTTGTTTAGGGCAACTAGATTAACCCACAGTTATCAGTAATACTTCAAGATTCTTTTGTCAAAACTTAAATCAGGACTATTTAATTCATTTTTGCTACTCGGATTGGCAATAATTTTCGGACTCTTTGAAGATTCATTTTTAAGATCCATCTTTGACAAAGAGATATCTCTGTTGAGTCATCCACATTCGAATCTCCTCTTATTGATGAGCAAAAATTAATCAATGCTGTTGGTTATACCGTCCACAAGAAGTGTACCAATGAGTATTAATTTCGTGTTTATTGACAGAGAAGAAGTTGGTTGGTAAAGCAATTAGTAGAAAATGCTCTGAGCATTCTATTAAATAAACCAATCGAAATTTAGTCTCGGAAGAGTGACCCCCTTGTGTTGGCACTAAGTCATCTATCATCATTAACAAGACGAGGGAACAACGCTCCCGAGAGCTTGACAGTCTTTTTGGAATTAAGGCTATTATCAACTCTGATAGGCCTTGATCCCTCAATAAAGAGAACTTTGGAACAACCTGCTTTCCTGTGCAATCCCCTTGTTTGGTTTTAATAACATGCCTTAGGTTAACCGCACTCTGTCTGAGCTTCCTATAATGAGTCAACTGTAGTTTAGTAATGTCTAGGGGCCAGAACATCGTCCTATAAAGCTATTGTGCCACTGTATAAATCAGAATCAACATGGCATAGTGGTATAATGATATGATATATATGTATGAATTTGATTAATAATTTGATCGGAATTACGATACTTCCCATAATATCATTAAAACCCAAAATGAAATATGCATTTCATCTCAACTACCTGTGTGGAAGGAGCCTAGATAAGACCGACTGAAGGATTTACTTACATCTACAAAGTCGGGATTTTGTCCAAGTGATTGGAAGTAATTCCTCAATTCATCTCTTGTTAGGTAGCCCTTTGAATCCACATCAGCCTTCTCAATATGGTCCATCACCTCGAATTCCATCTTTCAATCCCTTCTGCACTTCCTCACCTTCTAACTTTTGTTCTCTCAGCGGTCGAAATTATATGGGATTCCTTTGACCAATAGGAAAAAAACTTATAGATGTGATGCACAATTTCGAATGAGTACTTTTAATAAGGTAGTATACTTTAAAAAGTCGTTTTTAAAACGGTGGCTAGGCTCCACGTCCACATTGGCAACGTGATGCCTATAAGTTCTTAGTTTGAGTTGGAAAGCTTATATCCATTATTTGGGGAAGCGGTTTGGCAACAGCTTTGACCTTCCTTGCTTCCTCGCCAGTAAACTGCACACAACTAAAAGAAAGCAAAAGAAAAATCGATAACAAATGATAACAAATGTTAAAAGAACAGATTATTTGCCAAGTCTGCAAGCAGAAATAAAAGGCTCTATCAGCTCAAAGGTCATATACCAATCGGTAAAGGCACCCTAAGTTTATGAAATGGAGACCATTTAAATTGAGAAATCCGAATGACAAATCATTCTGCTACTAAGCATGAGAAAGAGATTGACGTTAGCAGAAAACCCTAGAGGATTCTAACAAATATATAGAAAGTGGTTTTGCATGAGATGCGAGCTAGAATGTTGAACAAAATAGTTGCACTGCCAATTGTACAGAATCCAGTTAAAGGGAATATTATGAAGATCTTAATCGAATTTAGACACTTAGACGGTCGAAATTTATATCAAATGGCAGGCTATATGATAGTTATAATTAACCCTTTAGTTGACTTCGGTATTCACAAAGGGGGTGGAACATCAAAGTCAGAAAAAGTCGAGAAATAGGGGGGGGGGGGGGAGACAGAAGAGAGATGTAGAACTGGAGACGAAGGCAAGGTGAGTACTGTGGAAGTGGTCGAATGTGGCAAACAGAGGCGTCATGGTAGTTTGAAGTGAGAAGTCAACTGGGGTTTATAGACTTTTTGGCGTATGAGTATACGTTGCCCAGGGAGCACGAAGTGGAGGTAAGTATATCTCACACCACTCGAGAGTAGAAATAATGATGAGAAAAAATCGACTCTTGAAGGTCAAAACCTCTTCATTCAAAATGACAGATTCTCGAAGTTGTTGGCAAATAGAAATGCCATGCTATTTGTCACTACTCCTTTCATTTTGAAGGCGCCTTTTGGTAAGTTTTTGGAATTTCACCCAAAGGCAGCCAATTTAATTGACACCAGGAACCACTGGATGGTTGTGAAGAGTCTATTTTTGAAAATCAAATAATTATATGGGTAAAGGGTGTGCGATAGACTTACCTCTACGTGGTGCACCCTGGGCAACGTATACTCATGGGGCAAAAAAGTCTATAAACCGGCAGTTGACTTCTGAGTTCAAGCTATCATGACCCCACTGCATGTCATATTCGACCATTCTCCAGTACTCACCTCACCTTTCATCTACCTTTGTGTCTGTCTCTTACATCTTTAAAACACTCTTCTATTCACCCTTCCATCCTCTCGACTTTTTTCGATTTGATATTCCTCTCCCTCTGTGAAGCCTAAAGTCAACTTTTGGGCTAATGATAACTATCATAAAGCCTGCCATTTGATATAAATAATAAGTTAAATGCCTTTAAGATATTCCAAACATAAAAGCGTGTTTACGGCACTTCAGTTCTCACTTGAATTGATGCCAGATGAACTCAAATAATATTCTGCTTCAGATAATTTTTCTCAACTCTTGTTTTTTGTCAATATTTTTTCTCCTATGATTTCACAGTCATTGCACTTTGAGAAATGAGAATTTATTGGTTGAGAGTTCTCAAGATTTTCAATTTACCCCTCTTTTTTCTCAACCAAAAACAATTTCCGCTTCGATTCTTGCAGATTCAAATGGCACTTATTTTATAAAACGCATAATTCTTCCATTTTTGACTTATCTCACTCCATCTAAGAGAGGTAGGGAGGAATTGTTGGGTTAATACGAACGAAGATCACGTTTGAGAGCTTAAGAAAATCAACACAGAGAAGACCCAGGTACCATATATGCTAGAATTTCCAAAAAAATAGGTTAACTAAGAGGAATCAACGTTAAATTTCTTCTTACTTAGAAGTCTCAATTTTTACAAGGGGTTTTGTGCTAAACCTTAATTTTGGCCCAAGTTATCGAATAAGCATTTTAACACGAATTATCACTGGTAAGTGATAATCAATATGGATTGCTTCACAATTATTATAATTACCCAAGGTAAAAAATGAAATATTTTGGATTTTTAAGCAATTACCTGCACCCAAACAATCGAAATGAGGTGGGTGGGGGGGAGGGCTTAATGGGGGTCTAATGGGAAAATAGTGGGAAAGTCTATATCCTTTTGGAAACTAGTAAACTGCAGATATAAAGGTTGCTCTGTAAACACTCGACATTCTCACCAGAAAGAAAAAGAAAAGGATCGGTTAAGCCAAGCATTTGATCGATTTAAAGGAAATTCTGTGGATACCTAAATTATACCGTTGCCACCTATTACAGGCTAAATTGGGCCTCGTGATCTGGAGAAATAACCGCTTTACTTCTGTTCATTAGCCGGGCTTGGTAGTACTCGAATTGTGGTCTGCGTCTTTATTAATCGCTCTCAATAGGCATATAAGAGTCCATCGGTCTGGGTTATGGGGAGTTAGGGTCCAAACATAGGAACCGTGTGATCATAAAAATAGACTCTTGCCACTTTCCCATGAGGTGTTGCCTGTTAGTGATGATCCTAGTTCGTTATGTAGGGCCTAACAACTACAGTAGTCAGCAATTCCAGGTAAAAATATGAACTACACCATTCTAGGGGAAGTGGCCGCAACTCGACAGTTTGTAGTATAGCAATTTTTTTCAATTTAATCATAAAGTTATTAAACTTTTCAGATATTGATATCCATATCTTTTTATGTGCAAAATTGACCTCTGCGATGCTTTTAGGAGTTTCCATACATGGTAAAGGTTGAAACATGCAAGTAACTCTATCGACAAAGCCCCAATTTGATGCCAAGGTTCTGAAATACTCATTTTCTACTGCACGAGTGAAACCAATCAGGTGGGCTGCTATCTTACTTTTTGTACCTACATCAGCCTTTCCATCGCCATCGTAATACTCCAGTTCATTTCTGATTGTTTTTTAAAGCGTTCAGGGGCTATTGATAGCTAAACATAATCTCCTTATTTTAATGGCTGGAGGAAATCATCCTGATACATGCCATTCTTCTGTACGGTTCAAATTTGTTCCAGGCATTCAATTTCATTGTCATCACATATGGATGAAGTGGAGTTTCAGCTTTTAAAGGAAGTATAGTGTCTATGGTTACTTTTAGCAGAATAATTCGTTACGCTTCTGCAACGGTTGCCTTTTTATCTTCAAACAGATTACCTTTCATTTGAGAACATTTTTCACCCTTTGAAATCATGAATTATTAGCAGTTTGGCAACCAATTTAACTGCAACTTTTCAGAGTGTATTGGAAACAATAATACCGTCAAGTTTTCACCCCCCATCAAATAGCTTCCATCCTTAATGTTTCACTTTTATTAAAAGTTCATTTGGCCCACTTTCATAAACAGTCAACTCACTCAACGTTCAACCATCCTCGCCTCCCTCCCTTTTCTGCTCTTAAACGTTCGCCGTTCTCGAAACGTGGAAGTCCTTCTCCATCCTGTTGTCACAGTGAAACTTGGTCTGGAGAATAGCAAGTAAAAAAATCGATACCACCGAGTCTAATTAAGAACTCAAAATCCCCTTGTAAAGTACTATCTGAGTAAATAATATAATTACCTTATAATCATGCCCTGTAGGTCTCATAATAACTTAAGGATATGATCTCTTAAAAAAGTGAGAGGAACTTTTTTAGGTTACTTAATTATCTACAACCTCCACAATTATTATTCTCTTTTATTTTTCACTCCATATCAAACAATGTTTTTGTGTTAGTGACCCGCCAGTTTAGCAGCAAAGGAAAAAAATCATCAGCTGACGAAGAGGTCAGTGCAGAATGGTGTGTCGGCACTAACCTTCGATAGAATACTGCGCATAATTGATTAAAAATCGACTATAACATTCACCAATGAAGAAAAGCGTACTCTGAACGCGAAATTAGTTCGGTGACAGTGCGTGAGAGACAGTCTGCATAAGAGGTGACAGTTACCATGACTTTTCCTTCATTATGCACAGTGAGTGCATCGTGAGTCATACGCTGTCAAATGCACGAATTTTAGAGTATGCCGCCATGGTCACCAGTCATCGCACATATTTTATCATAGCAAGTGTAAGTGAATGCCATTTTCTTTGTCAATCTTTCCATTACGAGTGGGCAATGGTTAGTCTACATTTCGAAAATTACTATTGCTTTACCATTATTAGTAGTAGTATTACTCCTAGCATTATGAAATTCTTTACGATAAAAAAGTTCAAAGGGTGTTGGGAGCCAAGAAGAGGGAAGTGAAGGCCTTATTTGAATTCCGAAATTTTTGAAGTTGCCATACAGCCTCAATAACGTGTCTTTCTTTTGCGACTACAAACAAGTACACAGGATCGATAATAGTGTTTATCCATATTATCATCTATGCCATGACTCAATATTCCCACAATTAAGCCTATTAGGCGTTTTTTCCATACCATCCATGTGAATTAACTACTTACGTGAAATAATTGTTTGGTGCTAAAGCGTATAGAATGATAATAGGCAAAATACCATCATTATAATTAAGGAAGGTTATAATAGGCAAAGTATGGACATTTTTGAAAACTAGCAAAATAGAGCCCTTACTTAATGAAATAGGAAAAATTAATTCCAGGATGAGTATAGTTGAGGGGAGGAAGTAAGTTCGAACAAATTCGTCACTAAGAAGGCGATTTCCTCAATTGAATTGACTCATTCACTTTAACATAAAAGATGGGAACGTGTTTGTGGTTGAGTCAAAGCTCTCTACTTCTATAATTAGAAAGATTGCATTTAGGTATTTTGTTGTAAATCGGTCAATACTTTTCATTTGGTACTAAACAGTTATATGACTCCATTGGTTCAGATGTAATTTTCGCTTGCTTATCATGCAAATAAAATTATAAAATGTGCATAAGTACTGTAAATATAATCTCAATTTACATTATCATCAACTCTTACATTATTTAAAACAGGCACTAATAGACATCTTGCTGGGTCTCACATCTGTAATTTCACGAAGAGGAATCAGATGTTTTCTCCAGGCAGACAACAAGACTAAATATGTGCATATTGTAGAAACTTGTCAAAATGAACTAATCAGCATAAGTGCAGTAAAGCGGTATATTTTATTTTACTTTCAGTTATCACTCCTTCTCATTTTTTCCTCATAAACATAGCATTGTACTCCGTTACCCTAATTCAAATGCAATCATTTTGCAAAAAAGTTGCTCATTCTTGAACCTGTCAACTATATTAGATTTCCAGAATAGGTTATATCAAGAGCGTGCCAACGTGCGTTGAAGGTCAAGCCAACTTTTTTCGTTTGATTACAAATTTTCAGTTACCTGCTTTGAGCCAACTTATCCTAACTCAAAAGAAATCCATTTTTATTGTTTTAAGGCACATTTACTTTCAATTTGAGTTTGCTTTATACAATGCTTGTTTCTAAAAGATAAGCCAGTCAGTTGTAATTAAGTGACTTTAATCAGGCTAAATTTTTGTAGTTGGAGCACAAATGGGTATTGCTGAGTTCTTATAGCTAGCATTTAGATATTGTCTCAAAATGTCTTCTGAAATGGGAGTTATCTTATTAAAATACTCAAGAATTGAACACAAATTTCATGATCCTCATACAGGGCGAAGCGATGAAACGAAGGCCCTTGAAAACTTCCTGTCTGTTCACGAGGGGTTTATTAAAATTTCCTATAAGGCCCATTAGAACTTAGTCCCTTTTGGTGATAGTCTTTATTTATGAATTACCTCGAAACTATGGACATTTCCCATCAAAATAATTATTCACAAGTTACTCCTGTAATTCTATTGGCTTTTCAAAGTATTTGGATTAGGTCGTAGTTAATCACGATTCTCCAAATTTACGAGAACATTCTAAAGGTCTTAAGACCAGTCTCCGTGAATCCACCAGTTCCAACTATCGACGTTTTTCTGTTATGCGCTTTCGTGTTATTGAGGTGTGGTTTTCACACAGGAATCGAATCAATACACTGGACTCACATCTACTACTTTGCAAAATTATAGCAATGCGGTGCTTTGCATTCCACTTGCCTCTATGTGCTTTTGGCAAAGCTTTGAATTCACAAATACTTCTGAGTGTTTTGTGATTCGTATGATTTATCGACTTAATGTATGCAATCTCAACCACTCAGTTCCTGTTTTCGCAAATGCTTCTTTGGCTCTCCTAAAACTAAATTCCGACAGTTTGCTCAATCAGATTGAAATTAGCTGTCTATCAACTGGAGAATTCTCTCCAAAAATGTTTTCCGTAACATTTGAGAGAGGGGTGCGCGATAGACTTACCTCCATGTGGTGCACCCTGGGCAACGTATATTCATACGGCAAAAAAGTCCATTAACCTGCAGTTGACTTCAAACTACCATCACCCCACTCTATGTCATATTCCACAACTTCCACAGTACTCATCTCACCATTTTTCTACCTTTGTGTCTGTCTCTTTTACATCTTTGAAACACTCTTCTCTTCTTTCCCCCTCCCCTATCGACTTTTTTCCCTTCGATGTTCCTTCCTCTCTGTGAAGCCTGAAGCCAACTTAAGGGGCTAATGATAACCATCAAAACGTCTGCCATTTGATATAAATAATAAATACATTTGAGAGATAAAATTGCCTGTCCTGAAATCGCATTTAATTCACATGATTAGCATCTCCTTCATCAAAACCCCATTAACTACTTCTGCAATAAAATTGAAAAAAAATTTTGCTTATTTAATCGTCTTTTTTCTCTTGTATGATATGATTTATTACACGTTGAAGCAAGGCTGTTATAGCTGAATCTAAAAACATTGGATAAAAATGATATAAAAACTTGTTTTAATAACTTTGATTGACTTCCCGATTATGAGCATGTGAAATAAAAACGGCATATTTTTTCTCAAACCATAAGGCTAAAAAATTAACCAAAGATTTTTTAATTGCAAGCAAACAATGGATAGATGTCAGTGTGGTGAACTAGGCACAGATCTTTCAACCAAACAAGCAAATCATGAAGGGAACTAAGATTATAAACAAGGTGGGAAATATGTAGAGAAGTACCATTAAAGAAGGAGAAATTACTCTGGAGTGCGGTAAAGAATGTAGAGATAGGGTCCATATTGGAAATGGACAAAGTAATCTTCCTCATGTCCCACCGAACACCCAAAAGTGGCTCTACTGACAATAACTTGCCAATGTTGACCCCATTTCTTCTCCATGTTCTCCTTCAAATATTTGGCAAATTGTGACTCCTTGTCGAAACGATCCATATTTGCGCTCTTGATTTCTTGCACAACATGCTCCAGGAGTCCTTTCTTTACTGAGCCTGAGTAGAGAACCTTCACGCCTTCCATTAAGCTGGAGTCAATTTTTTTGATCTCTTTACTTTTAGCCTCCTTTTGCGTCTCCCTCTTCTTTTCGACATTCCGTCTAAATGGCAATGAAGTGGTTTACATTACAATTGTATATCATATATTCTACAACAAGGATATTTTGAGAATTTCATTTTCTAATAATTATTGAAAAGAATATTATTGGAGAAAAAGTTGAAATAAATTCATGCGGTGTTAAATATGCTTGGAATATACAATAAAGGTATAACCGAATATTGCCAAAACAAAAAAACAGAAAAAGACATTTGAAAAAATAGTTAACCGATAAATTTCACGTCAATGTCCTTTTTTCACCAGTGAAGATTCAAATGTGTTACTATCAGGACAAAATTCGAAATTATCAATAACCAAATGACAATTCCCAATTAACTAGTATCAATCGGCTTTCTAAGTTTTATCATTTGTAATTTTATGGCCTTTAAAAGTTACTTTTCGAGTTTCTTCAAAATAAATAAGATCTTGGAATAATTTACTTAATTGTTGCGGATATAATTGACTATTGAATGAACTTTCACAAATTGATATGCATGAAATAAGGGGAATTGAATGGGATATAACCTGGATTTTTATGAAGCCAATTGGAACTTTTCAGTAAAATTTATAGAAAGGCAATGTCACTAGGATATGAAAACTGCTTAAACAGAGAACTTATTCCAAGTCTTAAATGACCTAGGTGTGAGGTCCACTGATTTACCCTCAAGCTATGCCAAGGCAAATTCAATCGATAAGTGCTCGTTTGAGAATAGGGAAAGTTGAAAGCTAAGACTTGACTAAGAGCTTGCTATATTCAAAATAAAGCAATTTATTGTAAAGTTAAAAATCTAGGGTAAGAACTTACGAATAATTCTTTGACATGCTAATGGCCAGAGTTTCGCACAAATCCTCAAAGGTAATTCTTCCAACGCCTCTATAATCGAACCATTTGAACCAGTTCTGGAGGTTTCAGAAAAGAGGGGCTTTATTCAAGGCAAGGAAAACCAGGTGTTGGGTGGGGGGAGGGGAGGGGGGGGGTTAGGAGAGTTGCAGATTAATTTAAATTGGGATTACTCACATCCACCATATCTTCCGGTTGATTAGTCTTCTTTGCATATGCCTCCAACTCATCTCGTGTAATGTAGCCATTGTAGTGTGTATCAATTTGTTCAAAAATATCCGCCAACTCCTGACTTAACGGCATAGACATGTTGTGGAGAGTGTAGACGTGATTAAGCAGGCAAGGGAGTGAATAATTGTGGTGAGAGCAATGGTTGCAAAAACCTGGTTTCTTATCTCTTTTTCCGTGCGCACACTCACAGTACAGTTTATATATATATACCAATCACTATCTCTGCTCTCTTGACGTTGCTAGCTCAACTTAAAGCGCCACCTCATCTTGATGCAGTTGGCGGTTTCATGTTTCTCGCGTTTTACTTCATCAATCAAATAATATGTGCCTCAGCAACACGTCATCTAAGTGCATGTTGGTTGAACGAAGGCTACTCAATTTATATTAGTATCTCATGCCTATTATTTTTATTACCCACAGCGTTATTAAAAATAGCCAATTTATAAGTGTAATAAACAACTGCAATTCGTTGAAAGAAAGCCCAACAATTAAGTACGGACAAGTGATCAAAACGAGATCGATATATTAACGGCTTGACATGAAGGAGCATTTCTCCATTGGTTTCTACAAGATCTCATATGCGACTACTTTATATTTCAAAATTCGGTGCGTATTGATCACGTATTATTTAATGGAGAGGGGTGTGCGATAGACTTACCTCCACGTGGTGCACCCTGGGCAACGTATACTTATACGGCAAAAAGGTCAATTAACTGGCAGTTGACTTCTCACTTCAAACTACCATCACCTCACTATGTCATATTTGACTACTTCCATAGTACTCACCTCGCCTTTTTTCTACCTTTGTGTTTATCCCTTTTACATCGTTGAAACACTCTTCTGTCCCCCCCCCCCTCCTCTCGAATCTTTTCAATTTGAAGTACCTTCCTCTCTGTGAAGCCTGAAGTCAACTAAATGGCTAATGATGACCATCAAGACGCCTGCCATTTGATATAATTATTTAATGGAGAGGAGGGGGAGGAGAGGGGTCCTGTCGAGGCGTTTCGGTTTTCTTTTGTGCAATAATTTAGATGAAAATTATTAACTTCCAATTTTAACACCGAAACGGCGGAATGGATAAAAATAGTAAGTTTGCGGAGCTCAGCCTTAAAACTGTCAGTTGGTTAAAGAGATTTATGGAGGAGATAATGAAATCTCACTCAATTTCTGTATCAGCCTCATTTTGCTGTTTGACTAGAGATATCATGTTATTTTGCTCATTATATAATAAGCTATCTTCCCCGCGACTAACTTAGTAAGCAATTTTTAGATGCAAAGTCAAGTGAAGTCCTATTTTCAAAAAAATAATGATATTTTAGCACAAACCCTGGATAGAAAACTAAGCTCAAAATGCGGGAAAGAGGATACCTCATTAAATATTGTAGGTGAATTCAAGGAAGCACTAAAACGCGATTTCCACTATACGACTTCTCCTTGGGACTAAATAATTGCAACGGAGTTTGGTACGGGTTGTGATACCTTCGAATATGGATCAACTAAGTTTAGCTATAAGATTCCCTGGATAGACCTGGAAATGCCGAGATAAACGTGTGACTACAAAGACTTATTTCGAGTGCACATGAGACCTGGATGTCAAGAGCGCGCAGTCTCGCCTACTCTTAAACTAAAATATTTCAATTACACCACAGAAGTGTGCTAATACCATGCTACAATGCGTTAAATTGATTCACGCTTACACGCTAAACTTCACTTTTTCCTATTTATAATGTAGCGGTGCTATTATCTAATGCATGTCTGTTGCAGATCTGTGTCAAGTAATCATCAAAATCGATATCTGCAACAAATTTACCCATACGGCGCACACATACACATCTGAAACTATTAGTTTGGCAACTAAGTCATTGCCGATTTCAAACAAGAAGGCGAATTCGGGATTTTTGTTTAAAAATATAACTTTATTCAATTAGATATTGGCCGTTCTTGTCGATTACCTTTTCCATCGTTCTGGCAGAGTAAAAATTCCCCGTTCGTAAAATGTCCCGTCTTTGCTATTAAAAAACTGAATTAGGTGTGATCCGACATCATCCGCGTTGTTAAAAATTTTACCATTTAAAGAGTTTTGCATGGAACGAAACAAATGGTAATCCGAAGGCGCAAGGTCAGGGCTATATGGTGGGTGTGAGTGACAAAACATCCCAACCCAGTTCCAATAATTTTTGCCGAGTAACCAAAGATGTGTGCGGGGGCCTTGCGTTATCATGATGGAAAACAACACCCTTC